AGTTCATGAAGCACAGAAGCAGAACCCAGAACCAAGCAAAGAAACATAAAATATAAACTTGCTTCAATAGTCAATACAGAAAAAAAAAATTGAAACAGAGGTGCAGTTCATGAAGCACAGAAGCATAACCCAGAACCAAGCAAAGCAACATAAAATATAAACTTGCTTCAATAGTCAATACAGAAAAAAAAATTGAAATAGAGGCGCAGTTCAGAAGCACAGAAGCAGAACCCAGAACCAAGCAAAGAAACATAAAATATAAACTTGCTTCAATAGTCAATACAGAAAAAAAAAATTGAAACAGAGGCGCAATTCATGAAGCACAGAAGCAGAACCCAGAACCAAACAAAGAAACATAAAATATAAACTTGCTTCAATAGTCAATACAGAAAAAAAAAATTGAAACAGAGGCGCAATTCATGAAGCATAGAAGCAGAACCCAGAACCAAGCAAAAAAACATAAAATATAAACTTGCTTCACTAGTCAATACAGAAAAAAAAAATTGAAACAGAGGCGCAGTTCATGAAGCACAGAAGCAGAACCAAGCAAAAGAAATATAAAATATAAACTTGCTTCAATTCAATACAGAAAAAAAAAAATCCATAGGCGCACTTGCTGAAGTAGAATCAAGCAAAGAAAAAAAAATGCAAAATGCTTTCATGTCTTTCTATTTCTAATTCCAACTTTTTGTTCTGGTGTCAAAAAGAAAAAGGAAAAAAGAGAGAGAGACGGCATTTGCAGAGCAGCAGAAGTAGAACCAAGCCAAAAAAAAAAAAATTATAACATGCTTAATCACTGTCCAACTTGAAAGATTACCTAAAATTGGAGACGATCTGGTGTTCAGAACTGCAGATCAGTGCTCAATCGCTGTCCCTCCAGTTACAGGAGGTGTCAAGGGGTAACCTCTGTCAAAGTTGCAAGCTATGGCCGATGGAGACTAAGAGGAGAGTCGAAAGGAGAGTTGCAAGCTATGGTCGATGGTGCGCAAAGTGTAGAGGAGAGTTGAGAGGAGAGTTGGGAGGAGTCGGAAGACCAGATGTGGCGGGATGAGACCAGATGGGTGCGCGAGATGAGACCAGAATCCAGAAGATGCGATGAGTTTTGGGTTTTTTTTCTTTAATTTATAAATAGAAAAGTTGAAAAAACAAAATTAACCTTAAAAAATTTTAACTTAAAAGCTTTTAATGGGGGTTAACATGGTAATTTAATCAAAACAGTCAAAAAATTACATAGCAGCCACTATGTGCGCCATCCGCTATACAAATAGCGGCCGCTATTAGCGGCAATAGCGACCACTATCGACAAAATGCTACGATATGGGAAATTTTCATAGTGGTCATAGCTGGCCGCTACGCTATGCCACTATAGCGGCCGTTATAACCGCTATTGACAACACTGGATTTATGTGACACCTTCAGGCAAATCACACACTAACAAAGCATGAAAAAGATGTTGGGTATATGGCCCAATATCCGTTAACCTCTTAAACAATGGTAGGGAAAACCGCAGCTCCCACACAAACAAAGCATGGGAGAGACACTATGTGTATCCTGGGGTTAGATCGTTGAAATTTCCTTACATTGAAACAAGTTCATTTTGCTGTCATGATGTTGACATTTTATGCACCTTTTTTTATTCTATATCAGAGGGATTGTTTCATGCTTGGGGAGCGGCTTTAACTGTCGAGAAAGTAAGTTTGATTGATGTCTTTTACTCTTTTTTTTATTAAATGTAATCTTGAACAATAGGTCTTCATGTCTAATATTTGGCTTTAGCATAGCCCTTCAATTTTGTTTCTCATTTTACATCAAGGGATTGTGAGAGTAGGGAAGCAAAGGGTTATGCATTCAATAGCATATTTTCATCAATATGCCTATTAATTTCAACATTCACAGTTTAAGTATTTCTTTTTCATTCTATATAGTTTGTGATAAAGTAGATACTTTTTCTAGAGTAAATAGCATTATGCTGAATATTTCTATATAGTTGGTTAAATTTGTTAATTTTTCTGTTGCATACATTGTATCATTCTTCCTTTCCCTTTGAAAGCTCGTAAATCTTTCTTCAAAAACTCAAACTTGCAAAAGTTTGGCAGTACTCAGCCAATTACTTGTGAAAATTTGATTCTCTTATTATTTTTCTTCCACAATTCTTGAGTTGTTTGCTTTATGTTCCAGAAAAAAATTATGATCTCTATATTAATTGTGGAGGAGGTGAAGTAAGTGTAAATGGAAATACATATGAAGAGGATGCAAATGAAGTAGGACCATCTGAATTTTTTCATAATAGTAGAGATTGGGCACTCAGCAACACTGGTCGCTTCTTGGATGTTGGCCAAGATGAGCGCAGATTTATCTCCACAAACCAATCTGAACTCTTTATGAAAGATTACCAGCTATACAAGGATGCACGCCTTTCGGCCATCTCGTTGACTTATTATGCATTTTGTATGGGTAACGGAAACTACACAGTAAATCTCCATTTTGCAGAAATAATGTTCAATGGTGATAGAATTTATAACAACTTGCGAAGGCGTATATTCAATATTTACATTCAGGTAGCTATGATTGCTCGACTCCAAAACCTTTTACATTTTAAATGTTGTTTGGTTGGAACTGGAAAAAAAGGAGAAATCAACATATATTGCATGGAATGTTCAATAGTTTGAATACATATTACAGGGAGAGTTGGTGGTGAAGGATTTCAATATAATGGAAGAAGCTGGAGGGATTGGTAGGGCTATTGTAAAACAGTTTCTTGCAGTTGTGACCAATGGTACCTTGGAAATTCGTTTATATTGGGCTGGAAAAGGGACAACGACCACTCCTGTTGGAGTAGTTTACGGTCCTCTTATATCAGCTATAACTGTCAATTCTAGTAAGTTGTATAATATTTCTAATTCCTGTATTTGTTTGAATTTTTTAACTAACATAAAAGCCTACTTTATTGACGTTTACATTATGAGTTCAGTAAACCTAGTAGTCAAATTGTGCATGTTTTCTTATTTTAAGATTCAAAGTGACTAAGGTAGTACATCTTCAGATTTTACACCTTCGAAAACTGGTAACATTACACCTACTGGTAACATTACACCTCCTTTGGACAAGGGGGATAGTACCGGTGTATCTGTCAGCATGGTGGTTGGAATTTTGATTGGAGTAGTTTTTGCTATCCTTTTGATTGTGGGTGTCCTTTGGTGGAAATGCTACTCAAGACAAAAAAACACATTAGAACAAGGTACTGGCTTGAATTACAATATTGGCTTTTTCTTTACTTCTTTAAACGAACTTGGTAGTACAGAGTTTTTTAGCAAATTATTGTCTTTCCTTTTTACTTTTAGACAAAATACCGACAGGACAAATGCCCGTTTAAACTTAATTATAGATACTTGGAATCAAGAGAGTTTAGAAGTTACCTTCTAAAATGATTATGTTATCTTGCTTGTGCTCTACAAATCTAAAAGGTTTGAACTTGCAAACAGTTTCTTTTAGTTTAAGGCAAATTAAAGCTGCCACCAACAACTTTGATCCTGTTAATAAGATTGGAGAAGGTGGTTTTGGTCCTGTTTACAAGGTATGATGTGCTAAATTTTTTTTTCCTTAATCCTACAAAAAAAACATGTTTGAAAGCTCATAGTATTTTCAAATGTAGGGCCATTTGACAGATGGTAAGATTATTGCTGTTAAGCAACTCTCAGCCAAATCAAAGCAAGGAAATCGCGAGTTTGTTAATGAAATTGGGTTGATTTCTGCTCTTCAACATCCTCATCTAGTCAAGCTATATGGATGCTGTATTGATGCAAATCAACTCTTGCTAGTATATGAGTACATGGAGAACAATAGCCTCGCTCGTGCATTGTTTGGTAGGTTTCTAAATGGACTTGGTAGTTTAAAAGAAGTAAATGGATGAAAATATAGGCATATTAATCTTTTCTTTGTTTGGTATTTCTCAGGGCCTAAAGAATGCCAATTGAAATTAGATTGGCTAATAAGACAGAAGATATGCATTGGTATAGCAAAAGGTTTAGCTTATCTCCATGAAGAATCAAGATTGAAGATTGTGCACCGAGATATCAAGGCTACCAATGTATTGCTTGATAAGGATCTAAATCCCAAAATATCTGACTTTGGTCTAGCTAAGCTTGATGAAGAAGATAACACCCATATTAGCACTCGCATTGCTGGAACTATGTAAGTATCACTGCTTCCGGTGCTTGAATATAATTGATGATAGGCATCATTGTTTTACCTTTTATATGATGATTTAATTATTTGATAGTGTGACATGGAAAATGCAATTTATGCATTCCTAAATTTGCAGGGGTTACATGGCTCCAGAATATGCAACACGAGGTTACTTAACTAACAAAGCAGATGTTTATAGTTTTGGAATTGTGGCCTTGGAAATTGTCAGTGGAAGAAGCAACACAATTAGTAGAACAAAAGAAAATAGCATTTATCTTATTGATTGGGTACCAAAATCCTCATTTTTTTCTTCACTGCAATATTCATTTTGTTAAGTCTTGAACCTCAAGGAAGCAACATTTTTACTGTTTGTAGGCTCTTCTTTTGAAGGAGAAAGGCAGCTTGTTAGAAATAGTTGACCCAAGGTTGGAATCTAACTACAACAAAAAAGAGGTTATGAGAATGATAAATGTGGCACTATTATGCACTAACCCCTCTCCAGCCTCTAGGCCTATTATGTCTTCTATAGTAAGCATGCTTGAAGGGAAGATTGCTGTTGATGAGTTGAGCCTCGATCCTAGTACGTCTATTGACTCAGTGAAGAAGTTCTATCAGACTCTTGAAGAAGAAAGTACTCAAGAAAGCCAGACACAAAGTAAATCAATTGAATCTTTGCCACTTAACTCTTCTTCTTCATCTGTAGCTGACCTTTATCCAGTCAATTTGAGCTCTAATTATTAGCAGAATAGAGATTCGAAAATGGAGAACTTTGCAAATTGACTTGCAATTATTGGCCTAAAGAACATTTATGAGTGCTTAAATTAATTTGAACTTTAGATTGCCTGAGTCTGTAGACATATATTAGGTTAAAGCATAGGTTTAAATTGTGGAACCATTGTAATATAGTCTGATATAGGTTGCAGAAGTGTGTACAAGGCATAAACTACAAACCAAATAGCGAAAATCAAATGGTAAACTGTTTCCCTTTTTGTGTTTGGTTTTAAATAAGAATCTTTGCTGCTGCAAGATATGAAACTATGATAATTAGGCAATTGAAATTTGATCCGACTTTGTACCAAGGGTTGCAATCACTTGAGGAAAATAAAAAATAAAATCAAATTGACTGTAATAAAAGTAGCCAACAACCCTTGTTTCTTTGCAATAGACCTAGTTAACAACCCTGTGGGCAAATCAAAATGCCGGCAGCACAAGCACTTGTTGTGTGCTGATGTCTCGTCTCAAAATTAATACCCTTTCGGCTAAGTGGTTGTTGTAGCATAGTTTTAGGTGTCGAATCCACAGGGAAGCTATATTAAACCAATAAAAAGAGTTGTCCAATGAGAAATTAAATTGAAAGATAAACTCTAAAATTAAGAATAAAAATATTTAAATAAAATATGATAATTCTAAAAGATTGAAAATAATATTACGATGAACAAGACTTTAGGGTTTACTTAATTGATTTGTTTAACTATTATAAATTTTGATTTCTATTTATTACTCAATTGCGTGTTTTACATCCCAAACAAACAATAAGAAGATTTAACTTTGAAGACCAATAATAATAACCAATGTATTTACTTTGAGAGAAATTAATTTCAATGAAGAACAAATTGATCTATCCTTACGAGCTATCCAAGAGCGACAATATATCTAATCGACAATACTGCAGTAAAGGATCAATCCGAAAACAAATCTACCAATCAATTATATTTTAACAAATCACACATAAAAAGAGCATGACTAATCTTATATGAAATTTGATAAATATAATTTTCAAGATTTTCAAATCTGAAAATAATTAATAATCTCTCAAAAATAAAATTAAACAATAAAATCCATGAAGAAATCAAAATAAAATAACAAGTCAAATTTCTCAATTAAGATCCTCCATAATCTTATTAAAAGTTTAGTTGCCCTTTAATATAATTTTCTAGCCTTGAAAAAGAAGAAAATAGTAGTTTAGGAACTATTTCTCTATATCTTAAACTTAGTTTCCAAGGCTCCTATTTGTATTAGAAATAAAATAGGAGTGTTTGGTAACTAAAATAGCAGCTTTAGGGAATTAATTTTATTTTTTTCTTTCTTCCCGCATGGTCTTGTCGGAGAGGGGTCGGAACCTAGATGAGGGTGCGGAACCCCTGATGTTTCTATTTTGTGCCACATTGATTAGGGGTCGGAACCTACTTCAGGTTGTGGAACCCTTGATACTATTGGAATTCCTTTTGCGCTGGTCACGGCAACTTCACGAACTTGCGAACTTTGCTCTTAATCAAATATGGAGAAATTTCACTTTAGCCTTCAAAGTTCTAGATTCATCCTTGGATCCTCATCTTTCCAGCTCTTTGCATTTAAGTCCTTTTTTCTAATTCTTCTCCATTTAACATCAAACCTTTAATCATCACAAAATTCACACAATATGAATAAAATGAACATTTATGAAATTACTTATAAAAAAATACAAATCTTAAACCCATAATTCCACAAATGTCATTAGTTAAGCACATTTTAAATATACATTTTCTTTCATCATGTGCCTTAAAGAGGACTCAAACTAACGTTTAAGAATGTTTGGTTAGAAGGTTGTTTCATTAAAAAAAAAGAGGTGAAACCTTCAATTTGGTCCTTCAATTATTGTACGAATCATGGATTTAGTCCCTAAACTAAAAAAATCTTTGATTTGATCCATATTGTTTACCAATATGACCTCAATTGTTCCTTTCGTTAAAAAAGATGACGTGTCCATTACTTAATGATAGAAAATTCTTACTTAACAACCACTTGTTATATTAATAATGAGACATGTCACATGCTTTTGTATGAAAAGACCAACTTATAGTCAAATTAGTAAACAATAAGGACAAAATCACGAATTGTTTTAGTTTAGGAACCAAATTGAGGGTCCGTATAATAGTTGAGGGACCAAATTGAGGATTTAACCTAAAAAAATTTATTGCAAGGGTAGTTAAGAAAATATTGTAGGAAAAATTAAAATATACAAAAAGTTGTTATATTTTATAATGAAATTTTATCGTTATAATTTTATTAGATCATTAATTTTGTTGTATTTTGTAAAAAATTGATATAGAAAAAGTTAATAAAAAATGTCGTTCAGTAGATTCAATATAGAGAAAATTATAAGAAAACATTTTTCTTTCAAAATAGAAGAGTAAAAAAACTTTATGGGTTGAGAATTGTATTAAAAAAATAAATACTCA